GAGAAAGAGTGTACCCACTTCTATATCTAAAACACTAAGCGTTCATGTAATCATATAGAAGTGAGAGATTTTCTTTCCTTAGTGAAAAGCCTATATCAGTTTTTGTGTGAGAGAAAATGTAATATGTGCAAACAATCGCAGATAAATTATTCTGTTTTGTCCTAACTCATATCTAAGAGATATTGAGGTTAAGAAAAGGTTCATAAAATGCACTGCAGGTGCATATGTGTTGAAAGCTCTACAAGAGTTGTGAGCTCTGTAATGGTGAACAATTGTGAATGGCTAATATGTAACCAACTGGATTGACTGGAGTTTGGTCATTAGTGAACAAATTTCACTAGTGTAGTAAGGACCGAAAGTAACCTTGGATTGGAGTGAACCAATATAAAAGTTCCATGTTTTCTTGCTTTTTGCGGCTACCCCTTCTACTATTTTGAATATGAAAATGATTGATTTATTTTTAAAAATATTTTTGAAATAAATAAACAATAATTCTATTAGCTAGAAAACATCTAATAAAATACATGGAACATTCAACAGGTCTCTAATTAAAAGAATTGAATAAATGGTTTTCAATTATTTATTTAATGTCCATTTTGGGATCACAATCATCTTCCTTCTAAGTTCAGAATGATCTCCATTTTGAGTTTGATCTTATACTCAGAACCAATTATAAAACTACAAATTTGTTATGAGAGAAAAGAAAGTTAAAAAAAAAATTAGAACACAATTCAACCTCATTCTTGTATTATTTTATTCACTTCAATTCTAACCACAATGAACCCCAATCAACCCCAATATAACAACAAAAAAACAAAGTCAATTAGTTCAAACATTTTATCAAAAACCTATCATGCATGCTTGAAAAACTCAAGAACATTCCTTAACCCCATTCATCCCTAGATTAATATTACAACTTCAAACAACCACAATCAGTTGCATAACACCATTAATCACATAATATTAACTTACAACACAAAAAAGAAAAGGATCAATGCAACCTACTTGGAGCTCGATTAGAAAAATGATAGGAGGAGGAAGAGGAAAAAGAGAAGACGTCAGCGGCGAATAACAAGTGTCGGGGGGACAAAGAATGATGTTGGGAACAAAGATTGGGGTGAAGGAGACGAAAGTCTGAATGTATTCAGGACTCCCTATTATGTTTTAATGGACTTTTTAAGTCTGTTGTTGCTTTAATTAATATAAAAGTACTTTTTATATCGATTATTTGACTAACTAATATAGAAGTTACTTTTATGTTGGTTAAACATAATAAACATTGACTATTAGAATTAGTCTAATGGTTGGGTGGGAAGAGATTGGTATAGTTAGAAGCATGAGGACTTAGGTTCAATTTTTATTGTGATTATTTTTGTAATTTTTTTTATTTTTACAAAAAAAAATACAATAAACATAGAAAGTGTAACATTCTTTACAAAAATATCAATCATCTTTCTTTTATTCTAGTAGCATGCTCAGACCTTCACATCTAGAGGAGACTAATGTGTTGATTGGTCAGTCTAATGTAATTTTATCATTGATGAATTATCCAGAGAGATAAATTTTGCAGGAAGAAAGAGTTCATATTAACATCAGGAAATATAAGTAATTAGTCGACCATTTGATAAAAATTTAACTAAATAAATTTTCTTGATCGATATGTGTTTAATATTTTATTTATGAATAATTATTAAGGAGTAATAGTTTCTCATGGTAGGTAACATTTTATTGTTATATTGAATTATTATATTCAATTAAGATATGTTAATTGACAATTAAATTACTTTGAGTTGTAACTATTAATAAAATGTCTAGTGTATGTTTTGTGATTCACAATCATGATTAGTGTTGAGATTTTCGTTGAACTAATTTTGTTATTATTGTAAATCATTTTAATTCTATCAACGAACTCAAACACGGCAAGTATACCGGCCGTTTAAGTAGTAAATTATATCGTATCCACGGGGACTAGTAGATAAAATAAGCATTTATTGACTACTCGTGACTAAAGAGTAATTCCAATTTCATAGTTTGTCATGCAAATTTGAATTAAAGGTTATGACTATTGGAATGTTAAACTATAAAAGTATTTGTTTTGTGTGTGGAAAAAGGTAGAAATGATATTATGGTTTTGTAAGATTGTGGGGTCAGATATCACCGAACTACACACTGATGAATCTTTAATCTCTTGTTACATTCACTGCTTAATCAATCCATAAGTTTACTCAAACCTAATCCCTTAGAGCAAGAGCCTAGGTGCAAGAAATGAATATCAATTCCTTGAGTATCCAATGCCTACACCCGCATTACGGGTTAGGGTTTAAGACTACTAATGGGCCAAGCTCCATTCCTATATACATTTCCCACTAGGCATTTGTTTCAGAGCTAGTTTCAATGGTTATTTTCCAATACCCAATGGAACCTATATCAAGCAAAGGAAGATCAATCCAAAGCAAGCATTAAGAATAGAAACATACACAACAATGAATGAAACAACACATATATATATCATTAAAAACGTAAAGATTACATAAGAGTTTCGTTGGTTACATCTAACCCCACAAAATAATGGGTAGAACCGCTCAAAACAATGAGGGTGAAACAAAAATAGAGATGGAAGAGAGAATGAAGAACCGAAGGAAAGACCCACACACGAACGGTTCCAAGCTCCAGGAATCCCTTCCTCAGCTCCTAGAATTCACCCAATGTGTGAATGAGGGGAAAATCCTCGAAGGTTTGCTCAAATACGAGCTGGGGGAGTCAGATTAGGGTTACCACGCCTGGCGCATAATGTTTTGCGCCCGGTGCATAATGCTTTGTGCCCCGCGCATAATGCTTTGCGCCCAGCGCATAATGCTTTGCGCCCCGCGCATAATGCTTTGCGCCCCGCGCATAATGCTTTGCGCCCCGCGCATAATGCTTTGCGCCCGACGCATAATGCTTTGCGCCCGGCGCAAGGCCTTCCAGAGAGTTTGGTTTGCTCTCTGTCTCGAGCACGCCCAGCGCATTTCTGCATTATAGAGAGTGTGGCTCTCTATTCTTCTCACGCTCGGCGTGGGTAGTCTTGCGCCCGGCACAGTTACTCTTCCCTACTCCTTAACTCCTTAAATTTCGAATCCTATGGGTCTTCTATCCTCAATTCTCTAGCTCAATACTTGCACAAAAATGAGGTGTATTAGGGTATTGTTAGCTAAATTCTGGGTTAGCTATATCTGCACAAAAAATGAATCAAAAAGAGAATAATTATGTTGCAAGAGTGCATGAGATGAGTGAAATTGTTTAATAATTCCTATCTAAACATTTGTATAAATGAGACTTAACAATTAGCACATTATGTTGAGATGATTTATATATTTAATTGTTTGTGTTAAAATATTGAGGAGAATTAAATATTTATCTGGTGAAAGCCAAAAATTAATATTAGTATTATTTTGATAATACTATTCTTCATGAATAAATAAGTGTGAGGCATCATTTGTAAAATGATGTAGACAATTAAGTTTTGAGATTTTCTCTATAGTGAAAATAATTAATTATTAATACTTTTTATCATCAATAAGATGAGACTCACCTTAAAACCAATATTATTATATATATTGATACCTTTGTGGTATGATGGTATTATTGATGTGAATTTTTTGAGTATAACTATTAAAAACTATTGTATGAGAATGTGAATTGTTAAAAATTATGAGTAATATGATGAAGATAATATGATGTTATCCATATTACAATATTTTATATAACGTGAGATGTTATAAAGATGTCATAAATTAATGGTATTTAACATTGAGAATTTTCCATTGTATTAAAAAATAAAATGATGATTAATTGAGTTTTGGATTCATATGAGACAATTCACTAATGTTGTGTCATTACACTTTGTTATACTAAAATTAATTTGAGATCAACTAATAATAATTATCAAAGAGTTTGTTGCTAGTTGATAGGAATAGGAATGGGCTAGGTCAAACCAGACTTTGAATATATAGGTTAAGTTTGTTCTACAAAATTAAAGCCTGAGTTTGCCTTATTATCTATCATAAACTTTTTTTTTGTAAGCTTGACTTGATTTTTTAAAACCTAGTTTGACTAGCTTATTTAAAAGCCTATTTATATTAATAATATTAATTAGACTAATAACCTTAATTTTTAAAAAATCATCAAATTTATTTTAAAATATAATTTACTCAATATTATTAAAATTAAAAATTTAAAAAATATAGAGAAAAAATTCATGTGCAGTCATATATGTTGATATACACTCACGCACAGATCATAATCTTATAAACCTATAATAAAAAAATGTGTAAAAAAATATTTTAAATATTGATAATTTATTTTTTCTTTATAAATTTATTTATTTTATTTATATTCTTAATAATATATGTACATTAGTTTTTTTTATTATATTATATAAATAAATTTATTTTTAAAATATAGTTTACTCAATATTAATAAAATTTAAATTTTAAATGAAATATATGAGAAAAATTGAATTATTTTATGTTGGAGAAACAATTCATACTTAGCCATGTATGTTGTGTTAGTTAGTAATTCAGCATGTGTATTGCGCCAAGCCTATTAATAATCTGAGGCCCAAAACTTGTAATGATAGATATATAATACTTGGTGATTAATCAATAATATAATTTTTCTGTTACACTAATCTTCTCTAGATCCCTCTCTCTCTTTACCTTACAATGGTATCAAGAGCTTCAAGATCAGGGATGAATAATAATGGTGAACGGGAACGAAGGAACATTATTGGGGAATATGCCCATGTTTGACAGTAAAAAAATCTCAATAGCTATGATTGTTGGTGCGTGAAGATGAAGGCCATCTTTGGATTTTAAGAAGTCATGGAGATTGTCAATACCGGTTACAACGATTTACCGAAGAATGCAACTGACGCACAACGAGCAACATTTTGCGATGTGAAACGGAAAGATTGCAAGGCAATATTTTATCTTCATCAATGCTTCGATGAAGCGAATTTTGAGAAAATCTCGTTGGCGAAAATGGCAAAGGAGGCCAGGGATATCTTAGCACAGAGTTATGCTAGAGTGGAATGCTTGAAGATAGTGCGACTTCAGACTTTGCGGTGTCACTACAAGCTCTTGTAGATGGGAAATCAAGAAACCATCCAAGAATATTTTTTGCAGTTACTATCCCTCACCAATTTGATGAAGTCGTGTGGAGAAAATATGAAAGAAAGAATCGTTGTCGAGAAGGTGCTCCGAACCCTTGATATAGAATTTGATATGATTATTATCGTGACTGAAGAATCAAAGAATCTTGATTCTTTGAAATTGGAAGAGTTGTAAGGCTCATTGGAAGCACATGAGTAGAGGTTAAGAGAAAGAGATAGTGACAAATCAGGTTCAGAACAAGCTTTGTTAGCTAAACAGAATAAGAAGATTGATGGTAAACATGGTAAATTCAACAAGAGAGGTCGTGGAAGAGAATTTAAAGGAGGCTATATTGGAGGTCGTGGTCTTGATACAAATGGAAAAGTACAAAATGATCATAACTTTCAATAGGGAGGTAATAGAGGAGGAAACACGAATTGGAGTGGTGGTAAAAGAAGACAGTGGAGAGATGGTATATTAGGTTCAAGTTTTGGCTTTGATAAGAGTTATGTGCAATGGTACAATTGTAACAAATATGGTCATTATGTTGTTGATTGTTGGAGTAAAGGAAGCTCAAATGGCAAAAAAGAAGAGGTCAATGTAGCTAAAAAAAAAGAACCTGAGGATGAAGTATTATTGATGGTAACTACTACAAAACCTGAGAAGAAAACTTTAGGTGAATCCTAGTACTTAGACACAAGTTGCTCGAATCACATGTCATTTCAGAAAAGCTAGTTCATTGATCTAAATGAAAAGATTAAAAGTAGAATGAATTTGTAGATAACTCTACTGTGAAATATGAAGGAAAATGAAAGATCTTGATTAGAAGAAAAGATGGGAAAACTAATGTAATTTCATGTGTTGTGTGTTCCTGCAATGAAACACAACTTATTGAGTATTGGACAACTTCTATAGAAGGGCTACTTAATTGATCGGAAGGATCAAATGCTAGAATTGAGAATGATGAAGTTCTAATAATTTGTTTGTATGTAATTTCATATGTGTTGTGTGTAGTTGAGTATGACATTTATTCTAGA